GGACATGACTATACACCAAGAAGGAGGACCAGTGATGCCAAAGATAGGGAACAAGGTCTTGTTCTTGGACCAGTTGTGCCTCGCATTCTTGAGTTGGCCAGAGCATCTTCCATCGGGACAAGGAACTGTAATTCCACATCGATTCCAGTCCACCAGGAGTAGTTTCTGGCCAACAATAGAGTGATAGTGTGGAGACTTGAATTGCTCCTCTGTGGATGGAACTGTCATGGTGAGTCCTTCAAAGTGTTGTCTGAATACCTCCTGGTTCTTGGGCCGAACAATGGATTCTGACACTACTTGTGCCATTGCTAGCATTGCCAGTGGTGCTCCTTTGGTCTTGTGCTGTTCCACAAAGGCAGAATCCTTTACAAGAGTGGTTACCTTTTGACAGAGAGCTAGTGGAGTTGTGCTGGTTGTGTTGCTTGTGGATGTCTTCTGTTGCCGGCTCGGATTGGCTGTATTCGTTCTAGCAGTGAAGAAGGCATCTCCATTCTCTCTTGTGGAATGCTTCCAGCTTCCTCTCTCATTCAGTGGAAGAGGAGCACTGAAGTGCCTTGTGAGTCTTCTGCTCTCTCTGATGGTTTCCATTGTCAGCTCATTCAAATCTCCTCTTCCTCTTGTTACTGTATTCTTAATACAGAGAACGTGGTGTGACCTTTTTGGGATTCGGAGACCAAGATGTCTGGCCTTACAGATGACACACTTCTTCAACGGATCAAAGACTTCTGCTACCTCTCCTCCCAGCGTTGTTTGTGGTCCTTCTTCTCGGGCTCTCTTGGATGATCTGTTGTTGTTGTTGGCAGCCAGTTGGTAGGCTCTCTTCTGTTGCGAGTTCCTCTGTTGACTTTGGCAGCCCATTCCTCCATTGTGAGTGGTAGCTGCTGTTGCTGCTGCTGTTGCTGCTGTTGCTGCTGTTCCGGTCATGATGGTGCTGCTTGGCTGAGATAATGACTGTCGAGTTGAGTTCAAGGGAGCGGCAGCACATGTCATTGTCGATCTTCTTCAACGGAATCCTTCTTTCGCGAAAACAGAAACACGAAATTTCGAACTTGATAGCACACTGTATCCGTAATAACTATAAATGGTACGTTAAGTATATTTGAATTTCGCCGACTCATTTGCTGATGTCATAGGTTGATTAGCCAATCAGATCACTGCCTTCTACCGCTTTCGCCCTTTACGATCTTGACCCGGGCACGCCGCAAAGAGCTTTTTTGATGTTGTTGCATCGATTTGATCGATTGAATCGAATCGAATCATTTGAACGCATTGCTTCATCCGACTTGGCATTGCCGAGCATGCCGCTCCAACGATGTTCCTTTTGCTTCGTTCGGCGGTTGAATCGAGTCGAATGAGTCGATGACACAATCGAACCGCCATCGAAGCACAATCGAAGAAGGCATCCCACAAAACAGCAGCAGCAAACTCGAATAATTATTCGCCAACCATCGATACACCGCTCAATCGGATCCAGCACAATGTCAAGCCCGAATACTGAAGACGCCAAGCCCAGCACAAAGAAGCGCAAGCGAGAAGACGAAGACGGACCAGAAGAGGAAGAAGCGGCCAAGGCTCCGCTGAAAGACGAACCCAAGGAGAGCACCGAAGGAGGAGAAGGAAAAGAACCACAAGATGACCCTCCCAAGGAGCCGACGGCGCCGGAGGATCCTCCCGCCCTCAAGGCCGCCGATGCTCCAGCAGGAGACAACTCCAAGCTCCCGACAATCCCTGGCACTACGGAGGCCACCGAAGTCCCGACAATCCCTGGCAGTAAGACTGGCCCTCCGGAAGTCGTAGGAGGAACCAACCATTTGGGCATTCCCAATCGTTTGTTACAACACGAGACGTCTGCCGGTACTACAGCTGCTGGCGGTGATACGGCAAAGGAGGCGGAGAAGACGTCAACGGTGCCGTCCCACCCCGAGTTGGAACACGTGCGGCCACACCCCACCTTTACGCAGTGGATTCAAGATCGGGTGTTGTTGTCGCCGATGGAGTCCACCTCCAAGAAACGATCCCGGTTCTGGCAAGCGTATCATCAGTTTGATCCGCAACACGCGTCCAATAAATCATCGGGACGAGAACACCATGCGGCTTGCAACATTTGTGGCAAGACAGTCAATATGGGAAGGGACTATTCCACTACCACCTTGCAGCAGCACTTGCGAAAATGCAACATCAAGCTCTGGACCAAACTCAAAGAAGAAATGGTCAATGCGCCCACCAAAAAGGCAAAGCACACAAAGATGGAAGAAGCGGCTGTGGTGGCTCTGGCTGTTGCTGCTCTTGGCGGCGATGCTGCAGCTGCTGCTAACACCACCACAGAAAAAGACAACAAGGACAAGACGGTAGAGTCCTTGAAGCAATATGTGCAGGTTGCCTACATGGTGCGATTCCAGTACCCGCCACTCGAAGAATGGGCTGGGTTGATTTCCATTCTCCACCGCGAACTAGCACAGACCTTGTCCAAAGCAGCCATTCGAAAAGTGTTTGACCAGCAAGCCAAGTTGAAACGAAAAAGACGAAACAGCAGCGAGAAAACAACGCAGCAGGACGAAACCATGCCTCCACCCAAAGCACCGGAAGCGCCCAACAAGGTTGGTGGCGATGGCATTGTCAGTGACAATAGCAGTCTGTCGTCCCAGCCTCCCCAATCTCCCAATAAGAACAAGGCGGCAGCAGCACCACCATCACAACCGTCGCAAGTAGTAGACAGCGATGAAAAAACAGACAACAACAACAAAACAGACAATAACGGCAAAACAGATAACAGCAACAACGACATCAGCAACAGCGCCACCAACAAAACGGAAGTCTAGAAAAGAAACAGCATCGCTTGAAGTTGCTAATGCATTAATTAAATCTTTGTTCTACTTTTTCATCCAGCATTGCTCTTGATTTCATTGCTTTACTACGTTTAGTTCTTAGTGACGCATGGGTTAGAAAACATGGTGGCGATCTCCGATGAAAAACCATAACACAATTACTGTAGGACCTCACTCAAACACAATTCCTCTTCTTTCTGAAGCCTGTTCTGGATCGTTGGTGAAACCCTTGTTGGCTTCATGCTGCGGTCGGGCTCGTCACCGTTTTGTGGTTTTGGCCACGACAGCTGCCACGACCATGATGTTGCGGCTGCCTCGGCTACTCTACAGTAGAGAATACATGACCCGCCAAACAACAGCACCACTACAGTGGATTGCACAACTACTACGGTAGCTACTAGCTAGCCAGCTTGCTTGAGAAGAGTCAACATGGACAATTGGCACAGATGCGTAATACTCCAAGCTCGAAGTATCTTTGTCTCCGCCTACGGAAAGTATGCCAATATTCCCATGCAAAGCCGGCTGTGGTGGCCGGTGGCGGACGCACAGCGCCACTCTTTCTGGCAAGGGAAACACTGCTACAGATGGAGTGGAAAGATTTCGAAGCTCCTAAGTAACTTCTAGTATTCCCAAATCGACCAGAACCACAGGCTTCACCCACACGCAAAGAGATCACTGAGGCCAACATGCTTGTACGAACACAAAGGGGTGCCCAGCGTTCTAGCAATGCCCTGGAGGGCACGAAAGTTCCACCCCAATCACTCTGGGACCAATGCAATTTCAAAACAAAATGTATATCAGTGCTCCGCTTGGTTTCATTGCCTCTATATTATTATTCTCCGTCCATGCGCTCCCCTGCTGGTAGTTCCCACCATTCAAAGCCAATTTCATCCAGCATTGCCTTTCTCTCTGAACCAAGTGAATCCTTGGCATACAGCGCCCTTTGATCGAATGCCCACGAAAGAAGTGAACTACCCAAAGCAAGCTTCTTGGAATTACCCTGCTTCAGCTCCTCATAGCTTTCCAGCCAAGATTTTTCAAAAATCTCGTCAAAGTCCCAAACAAACCCAATTTTGTCAAGTTTTTCTTTCCGGTCAGGACGCAAGGTGCCATCTTTGCTTCTCATCCGCTGATTGTTGACCCACCAACCAAGTTCTTTGTTTTCTGGATATGGTCGCGGAACGCGGGTGTGACCATGCTGTTCCTTGAACTTACAAAGTGCAGCATATTGGAAATTCCACAATGTTTCATGTTCTGGTTTCTTTACCTCGACAAACCTTTTTAGCCTCCACTCAAAGCCAATGGATTCTAGCAGTTCTTGTCTATCTCTCCTGAAATTGCCCATAGTGTACAGACGACGTTGTGTTTTGACCCATCCACCTAGTTTGCCTTGTTTGACAGGTACTCTGCAGTGTCCATTAATTGCCTTGTATTCCTCCAGCTCCTCAAACATTGCCATCCACTGTCTGTCATTCTTGTCCACATGAGCATCCGTCCATAGGAATCCAATACTGTCTAGCTGAGCAATCTGTTTCTGTACCAGTCGCCCCTTTTGTTTCCTCAGACACCAGATCCATAATGCTAGATTGGGATACTCTTTTGAAGTTTCAGGGATGTTGACTGTGCCATTGATCTTTTTGTATTCTAGCAGTGCTGCAATGTTCTGATCCCAAGTTGGATTGTTGACTGCAAATGTGCTGAGATTGGCATCATTTTCCAAATGTGACTCTGCTTGCTTGCTCTCTGATGGTTTCTGAATGCTCTCACGCGCAGTGCTGTTGGTGGTGGTAGCATAAAAAATATCCTCTATCTTCGTGGCAAAGAGAGGGGACACTTTTTCGTACTTTGCTGATGTGGCAAGCAAGTTGCAGTGTCGGAAGTGATTACATCGTTGTTGACGCTGATTGAAGGCGTATCCTGATGGATTTTTAGTAGCGAACGCCAGGACACCATTGTTTTGAGTGAGCTGATGTAGAATGAGAACTATGATAGCCACACATTGTGGAATGAGATGAAGTATTTGTCCTCTTCCTGGCCGCATGATTTGCTTCCAAAGGATCTTGTTTCTCGTTGACACAAGCCTCCCACAAACCGGATGTGATGATGTGAGGCTGTGGGGTTGTGGCGGGGAAGGGTCGATCCCAAATTTGCCCCCCCCTTTTCCATGGCCAATTTTCCCCCTGATCCACGAAACCTTACAACTTCTGTCTTTTTCTTTGCCTACTAAACTTGGACCCCCTTTGGCTTTCGTAGATAGCTGACCAATTCTCAACCCCCCTTTAATGATTTAGCAGAGTCGATGCGAGTCAAGTGACAGCCAAAATCATGTAATCCAACTTGTCTCATCAGAAGGTGAATAGCAGGTTTCATAGAAAGGGATACTAGTACACGTAGCATGCATACCAATGCTACTCCAGTCAGATAGTTAAACTAGTGTCGGCTAAATTTTGAGCAAGGCACAGAAGGTGTCGAGGAATTCTGGTGTCGTGCAACAAACGCAGATGACCAAGTCAGGGGGGGGTGTACAATCAGTTTGTGCCGAATTGGGTGGATTGAGATGGGAAGACCAGCTGGGGTGGGGGCTTGTGCGCTAAAAGACATGATGCCGATTGGCAGGACCCTGGGGATTTTTCCGCGACATTTTGGAGGGCACAGATCCGTTGCAACCCAAGGGATCAAGATGTTGGATTGCCACTGCGTATCGTGCCCAAAGGGAGCTCGAAGAAGAGTAGTACCGGCGGAGCCTTTTCTAGCGGCCAACAACATGAACGGTGATGAGAGTTCAGGTTCTGGCCCAAGTGTGTTGCTGGAAGATGGACCATAGATTTCCTGGAGATGATTTGGGAGCTGGACCAGGAATTGGTCCTTGTGACGGGCTTGAGTGGTGGTATGGGGGTTGGTTGTCCGGGCCAATAGTGCGACACGAGGGGGCGACAAGAGGGCGACCCGTCGTCGATCCACGAGAATTTTGAGGAAGCGGGGCATGGTGTGGATCGAACCACGATGGTTACCGGCACTTAGACGCCACTCAGATAGTTCGACACCGTTCCTCCCAACTCGCCGACGCATACATTCCTATTTATCAGTCTTGATTTTGGCAGATTTTGGACTCTTCTCTTTGGCGTCGTCGCCCTTATCAATGTCATCGGGATCTGTTTTTCGCTTTTTCGATACCCCCGCGTTAGTTTTGGCCTCCTGGCCCTCCACGGCTTTTGTGTTGCTGTCTTGTTCGCTGTTGTTGGCCCCGTTGTCTGCGGCTGTTTCCCCTTCATCGCCGTCTCCTTCCTTCTGGATTACCTGGAGAGTACCATACGCATCTCGAAGCGCATCCCACATGCTGTTTGCTGTGGGGCGAAAGTCGTCTCCCTCAAACCCTCTTCGGCAGCAATCGAGGAATCCCAACGGTGTTGTGTAGTCGTGCATGTTATCCTCTTCATTGTCGGATATCGGTTGTGAGAAGAAGAACTCATGCAAAGCCACAGCAATGGCAGTCCTGGCTTCTTCCTCCGTCTTGCCGGTCGCTCGAAGTGTTTCGTACTCAGGTGGATCAGGATTGGGATCGCACAACACCGTCAAACTGGCTTCGAAAAACATGCTTTGCTTCAACTCCTACTTGTTGACCCGGCCACTTTCCGATCTTTGACTGTACTATAGTCTAGTTTCTGATTTCAAAAGATCCAAGATTTTGGTCTAACCCCCCATTTAAGGTTTTGGTTGGGAAGGAGAGAAAAGCCAGCAAGGCGGCAACATACTTTGTCAAAGGCTTCGAAACGAAGAGAACTACTACTAGAAGTACTAGCTAGGCCCCCAAAGCCAACGCGGCACTGGTACCGGTACGGTAGATGCAACGGTGTTGACGAAGCTTCAAGTTTTGACAAGCAAGCTTTCTACATGTACCTAACCGGGGTTTAAGAGTAGGGGAAATTATCTACGGAAGCCAGCCGGGGCAGCTTTCTACCTGATTTTCATCGTGATACCAGGCACCACTACCGAAGTGGCTTTACTGCTTTTTCTATTTGCATGGTAAATGTTCTAACGTATTATCGTATTCATGAATTCATGAATTCGCTCTGCTCGCGGAGGCAGCCACTCTCTGTTCCATCTTGGACGTGATGTGGCAGTCCCCCCCAGGGTAACAGTCCTTGGTTTCCGAGACCTCGAGCTTCTCCATTTCGCAACGATATGTAGACCTGGAGCTTCCACCTCTGAAGACAACCCCAATGCCTCGCTCCTGGCTAGCGTCGCAGGCTTTGCCGACTCGAATCCACCATCTTTAGGAAGAGTCACGTGTAGGTGTGTCCAGGCTCGAGACAGTAGTATGACAAGATTTTGTGTCCAAACCTAGTTCGATCCAGTAGCTGCAATTTCAAAGACGGCACAAATATTGGGTTAGCGAAAGCATAACCACGTCATCAAGTTTCAAGCAAACAACATAAACACTCACGTTTGCAGCTCTCCCTTGCCCTTAGCGACAACCTTGTCTTCTCGTGCCTTCAACCAGGATCTTTTGCCAGATGCGATCTTCTCTCTTGTG